TAGTTCTGCTAGAGAAGGAACCTCAATCACCAGAACAATGACTTGCATGAAGTGGCATGGGAGGGAAACAGCAGTCAACTGAGAGGGCAGTGAGGACATCAGCATCTTCATGGAGAGACTGAAGTACTTGTTAAAACAAGAAGGGATTGGGTTGTCCAGAGAAGAGTTTGAGAATATAAGGGATTGTGCTCGTGATGGCCAGAGGGACCCAGAGAATAGAGGAGGATTTCAAAAACTGAGAAACGAGGCCGATGAGGAGAGGGACAGAGACATAGGGAAGTTGGAACTCAGGTGTTTCCAGGTGACCTGGATGTCTGGGCCATCTTTTGGTGATTGTAGTAACCAAGGATGGAGGATGCAGTGAGGGGCTTGACTTCCACAGCAGAATCTGATGGTGTGACCATCAGGTTTGTGAGGTGGAAGGGAGCAAGTTGTGGACCTTGCTGTGAACAGGCTCCGTATTTCTAATGTTTTATACAGTCTGACTCTAAAGGACTAGATCATTTCCCCATCCCCAAGCTGAAAATCATCTTGACTTGGAAGTGAGAAGAAAAGTTAATGATCTCTTTTGCTCAAAACCTTTTTTATTGCTCTGGATCTTGAGTTGCATCAGTGTCAGGAGGCCGTGGCTGTAGCCCCAGGATTTTTGTGGTGGAAAAAGAGCCATTACGTCTTTCTTATCTGTCAGATGTGTCTAACCATTTCCTCGTGTACAACCACTTCCTGGGAAATTTGCACTAATTAAAATGTTATAATAGTGCAGAAAAGTTTACTTAACACGTCACACAGTACTTAATAGAAGTGCTTAGCAAGTATCATTTGCTATTAAGTGGTAAGTGCTGGATTTTCAGCTGCCGTCTGGCTCTGTTCTTTATTGTTGTTGTGTGTTTTGGTTTTTGCTCCCGTATTCCTACTAGTAGTCTGCTGGTCTTACAGCTCTCAGTTCTGTTCTCCCTGTCTCTCCTCATGCTCCCACACGTCTACTTTAATGTCTTCCCCCTGCCTAGCCCTTGTGGTCTGGCATCTGTTCTCAGTTCAGCTCCCTTTGTGGCATTACATTATGGGGAACTCTTGAATAGGAGCAAGGCAACCCTCACTGCATGCATTTGAACAGGTGGAAACAGGGAATCCTTCATTATAGGATAAGGTTAGCCACTCTAACGTATGCTGGAGTGACAGCGGGCAGAGCAGACTGTGAAGGTGCCAGTCATTTGAACAGGAAGGGGCTGGGCCACCGAACCATGTAGAGAGACAAATGGCGACATGTTCTAGTCCCGTTGCTGTGCCCATATTTCCTCCCACTGTCACCACTCTAGTTGAAAACAGTGGCCTTCTGCATAAGCGCCTTCTGTGTGTCAGGCTTTGGGAGGGCCAGTGGGAGCAGGGCAGAGTAGAGGTCTTCAGCCACAGGTTTGGCATCCGCAGATTCACCAACTGCATTGCATGTATCGGAAGTGTTAGTCTATCCTAAACAATGTACAGACTGTTGTGATTATTTCCTGCGCAACACAGTACGAGAACTATTTTTTTTCAGCATTTACATTTACATCAGGGATTATAAGTCATCTATATACAACTTAAAGGGTATCCAACCTTTTGACATTGTCACATGACATTGTGATCTACACATGTGTGGCCTGCATTTATAGTTGTCTTAAGGGGCGTGTGGCCAGACCTGATCTAAAATATCTAGGCAGATACTAGAGAGATGGCTCGGTGGTTAAGAGTATGCACTTTTCTTTCAGAAGACCCGGGTTCAATTCCCAGGACCCGTACTGGGTTGCTCATAGCCACTCGTAGCTCTATTTCTAGAAGATCTGGTGCCCTCCTGGCCTCGGTGGCAGTGCACATGTACACTCAGGCATACACATATACACATAAAATAAATAAAGGAATTAGTAATTAAAGGGAGCTGGAGAGATTGTTAGGTGATTAAGGGCACACTGATTGCTCTTCCAGAGGACTCAGGTTCAGTTCCCAGAACCCACATGGCAACTCACAACCACATATAACTCCAGTTCCAGGGGATCATATGACCTCTTCTGACCTTTGTGGGTACTGCATGCTCATGGTGCACAGACATACATGCAGGCAAAACACCCATACACATAAAATAAAAGTAAAAGTAAAAAATGGAATAGAAACTCCCCCTATGCCTAAAATGTCTAAGCAGATGTTTATAGGTTATACACAAGGGCTACATTACTTTTTTGTTAGAGACTTGAACATCAGATTTTGGAATATGGTAGTTGGATCTTGGAACCAGTCCCCCAAAGATACTGAGTGAAGACTGACTATATATTGCCCGAGATTATCTGTTTGAGATCAGGCTGCATGCATTTGAATCCTGCCTCCATAATGAGCTGTAAGTTATCTAACCTTTCTGAGTCCCAGTTTCTTATCTGTAAAATGGAGATAGTTAAAAAAATTTTTTTTTTAATAATAGTAGTTCCTGGCCCACAAGAAGCACTATACAAGTCTTAAATTTAAAAAAAAAAATTATGAACCCATCTTAGAACACCACAATTATTTTATTTTATTAATGTCAGCAATAGAGTGGAGAGGTTAGGTAACTTGCCCAAAGACACAGGTGTGTTGAGTAGCAGAGTCAAATCTAGAAAACAGGTATAACAGGCTTGAAAAGCATTAGGTTAAAGCTACTGTGCACAGCCACCTACCAGGACATGCAGGTGGATGCTTTGCTTTCTCGGAGGGCTCTACAGGAGGTGTGGACACATGAGTCAGGGTACAGGTGGGCAGAGGAACTGCATGGTAGTTCACAGGGACTGTTGGACACATGACCTTGATCTGGCTTTGTGCACCATGCTATGGGACAGCAGCCTGGCCTCAGGCTCATTTTGGAGAGTGGTCAGTGTTGTGCCTGTACCCAGAGAGCTGAACCTTCCTGGGATACTTTTCTCCTTGTCTACTATTGGGTGACCTCATTGAAATCATTCAGTTACCACCGCCCCCCACTTTTTTTTTTTTTTGCCTCTGTGCCTCAGGTTCCTCATCTGTCAAAGGTGAGAGATTGAATAGCTCATGGCATAAAAATATTTGAAAAGCATAAAATAATATCCCAATTAGAACCACTATAGTCATTCTGAACCATATCAATTAGGTTCACATCGGAGCCTCTTAGGCCTCCATACCAGCCTTCTGCTAGTGATACTGTGTGACAGATGGCATAACCAGTTGTAGCATGTTCTACAGACTGGCTTGGAAACCGTGTCTTCTTTTCTGGGTTTAGACATTCCTCTGTGAACATAAAGTAGTAGCTGGGTATCAGCTCGGCCCCTGGGAAATTTTCCTTCAGTGTGTAATTCCGCAGTCAAGAGCCAGAGCCATTGTCTGTGTCCAGGGTCCATTGCTGGCCCGGCTACCATTCTGGGAGTGCTGCCAGGTCCTGGTTTCAGCTCTTGGCACAAGGCAGCCTTGGCCTCATGTGCTTTGGGTGCCTCTAACTGTTTCCTCGCATTAGCACACAGTCCTGATCCTGTGCTTGCACTGAAGGGAGCAGGAAAGCAGCTGACACCTTCCCTGGAGTTCTTGTCTCCTGGGCTTGCCTTGGACTCCGTGTACATTACACGCGCACGCGCACACGCGTACATGCACAAGTACACTAAGGGTTGAGAATTTGCCTTAGATGAATAGCCTGGCAAAATTCTTTTTTCTCCAGAGTTGACAGGCCAGCACTGAGTTTTATTTTGTTTGTGTTTTTTTGTTTTTTTGTTTTTTTTGCATTTTGATCTTTTAAAAAATTAATTCTTTGAGGATTTCATACAGCATATTTTTATCATATTCTTTCTCATCCTCTCAGCACTTCTGTCTGGAGGGAGACAGAAAAGGGATGAGAGAGTGTTGGATGTGGGGAGGGCAAGGAAGGTCTTTTTGGAAAACTATGCCAGAATTGGCCCAGCTCTAGAATAAGGTAAACCCTCAACCAACACCCAAGTATCCCATGGAGGAACTCATTATTCTTAGATCTGGACTTGACCACACCTAGGACTCCTTTTTTTTCACATTTGGAATATGAGTTTAATAAATCCTCCTTTGAGGCTGGAGAGATGGCTCAGAGGTTAAAAGCACTGGCTGCTGCTCTTTCAGAGGTCCTGAGTTCAATTCCCAGCAACCACATGGTGGCTCACAACCATCTACAATGAGATCTGGTGCCCTCTTCTGGCATGTGGGCATACATGCAGGCAGAACACTATGCATAATAAAAAAATAAATCTTTTAAAAAAATTTTAAAAAATCCTCCATTGAATGTTCTTGTCAAATGGGGAGTAAATTTTTAAATCCTCTGCCGTCTGCTTTCCAGGAGTGGGACTATAGGGACTATAAGGTTGTTCCTTCAGATGTATTCTGCAGAGTATTATTATTTTTAATGCGGTATTACATGTATATTTATATTTGAGACAGGGTTTCTTTGGTGGCCTTGGCTGTTCTTGAACTCACTCTGTAGACCAGGCTGGCCTTGAACTCACAGAGATCCGCCTGTCTCTACTTCTCAAGTGCTGGGATGAAAGGCGTGTGCCACCACTGCCTGGCAGAAATATGTTTTTATGAAAGGAACACTTGAGAAAGCGTTGTAATCACTTCTCGGCCTTTTGGCTAAGATCACATGGAGAAAGCGTTATATAAACCATGTTAAAGTAGCTTCCACTTTTGCAGAAACCACTGAGGTCCATTGTCATTCACCAGTGGTCTTCATGGTGAATCTCTGAGTGGATATATTGCCATATGCAACATCCGTTCAATTTTAATACACTTTTTCTGGTAAAGTGTTTTCCATGTACTCTATAAAACACAGCTAGGAACATGCCAGTTGAGATACGAAAGTTCATGCATTTCATTCTTTTTTTCCTTGAATTGTGAAGGGAGGTGAATGGATGAAATGTCAAGGTTGCCACCACCTTGTGGGGCCTAAAGGCTAAGGGTGTCTAGCAGAGTCTAATAGGCCATCTGTTCTGAAATGTCTCTCCATCTTTTCCCCACAGCTCCCCTTTGAACTGGAGATATACTACATCCAGCATGTTATGCTCTACGTGGTCCCCATCTACCTGCTTTGGAAAGGAGGTAAGGCCAGCAAATCACACACCTCTGGAATCTCCACACCTTCCCTTTCTCTCTGTTTGGAGGAGTCACACGCTCTTGGGTGCCCACCAGGATCTTGGGGGTGCTGCTTGGCTGAGTATCTACAGCATGCTTATTGTTGGTCCCTAGGCGCTGGGGTAGTGGGCATGAAAGAGGCCTGCAAGGAGTTTGGAGGCTGTTCAGAGCATCCCTTGTAGGTGAGCATGGTACCTCTGACTGCTTGACACAGAACCTAGGTTTGGGGTTCTTGGTGGTGGCCTGGGATTTGTATGGCACCCAGCACACCGTGTCATTCTTGTGCTTCTGCCTCCCCTGCGCCAGTGTGCACTTCAGAATAGGAGAGAAGGAAGTCCTCCACCCTATCAAGAGACTTCGAATTCATGTCCTTTGTATCCATGGTCTCAGAACCAGAAAAGCTACTGAAAGGGGCGAGAAGTGCCCAGAATAGGAGATCATGGGATTGAAGAAAGCGGCAGGCGAACATGTCATCCTTCCAGTAAAAGAAAGGGCTACAGATGTCACTTTAGCCAAGCAGGAGAGAGCACTGACCTAGTAGAGACAGACTGCGAAGGAATCTGAAGCGCTAGTGATCTCTGCTGTAGACAGAAGGACAGGACAGTTCCTGTGCCTTCTGTGGCTTCCCGAAAGCCTTTAGAACTGGAGGGTTTTCTTCTTCTCTCCTCACCACCAGTTGCTGCTGTCCTGGTTGCTGTGATTTTTCTGGGAGACCAACCACAAAGGTCCATTTCTATCACTTTCAAAATGGCCCGAGGCCACCTGGGGCCTTGAGCTCACTAGCTGGTACTCTTGAAGTACTGTTGGGCTCAGATGCCTCTTGTCATTCAGATTTATCTCCTCTTCCCTGGCCCCACCAGGTCTGTTTCCACGTTCTTTGATGCTGCTTTAACCCGGTGATGCCACTAGGGGTCTCACTCTGTCAGAGAACTCTTCCCTTTAGTTTGATTTGAAAGTATTGTTTTCCCTACTGAGCTTCCAGAGAAGTCTAACATTCCTTCATCCAGGAGACTCCTGCTGTTCCTCAGCTTTTTCCTGGGGGGGCATAGGCAACAGTCTAATGGTAGTCAAATCTCAGAAGTTCATGTATTCTGAATGGAACCAGAACACCCAGCCCATAGGTAACTAATTGTTCCTTTCTTCTGAGATGTGTGCTTGGAAGTATGGCCAAATCCACTTGCTTGTCATTAAAATGATTTTGTACTCTGTGCTCACCATCAAAAGCTATCCAGTAGCTGGGTGACATTGGTCTACCATGGAAAATACTGAGTAGTTAATGCTCTTCCTTCTGGGGTGGGAGTAGGGGGTAGGGGAGAGACAGCCCAGGATGTCATACCCTCTAAACAGGGTTGATTCTCTGCAGCCCTCTGTTGGGTCGGTTTCTATGTGTTTTGAGGCAGCTGAGCTGAGGAAATAGGGATTCTGAGTCTTCAGTTTCTACTTTTTATTCTTCCACTTGATGAGAATCTGCAACGCTAGCAAGAGTAAATAATAATAGCAACTACCTTTTTAATGACTACTTGTTCTGTGCAGAATATGTATACTGTACATGTTTTGTTTACATACACTTTTAAATAGTCTATTGATGGACCCTCCTATGGACAAGAAAATTAAGGCTGAGAACATTGGATAAAACCGTTGCTCTAAGGAACAAAGCTAGAACTCCAGGGTAGCCAAACTTCCTTGACTGGGGCTTTCTCCCACATACCGTACTGTCCAGAAGGCCAGTTGTCTTTGTCTTTACTGCATCAGCCTGGAAGTTCTGTCCTGTGTGCGTCCTTTCTCCTCTGCTTCGGTTCAACAATGTACTCAGTGTGGATTTGTTGAGCACCTCCTACGTGTCAGGCATCCGTAGCTGTAAATGGGGGACCCAGGGGGACGTAGAGCGTTGCAGCACAGCATGGTGGGTGCTACAGAGGGGAGTGTGGAAACAGAATGCCATTTCCAAAGGTCAACTCATCTTCGTTTCTGCACCATTTCCAGGAAGATAACTGTACGTTCTTAGAGAAAATGCTGCTAGTATCCGAGGTCCCTAACTCAAGAGATGCACAATAGGACCGTAAGAAGAGGTGGTATGCTCTTTTATTGCTAATACCTCATTGTCACCTGAGCTTGGTGAGGATTTAGCTGGCAAGGCAGGAAGAATGATGTCCTTTTCACTCCAGGTCTGGGCGAGAGCACCTAAGCAACCCATACAATTTGAAGGTTCTCTCCCTTCTCTCAGGATGGTGGAGAGTTCCAGGGCTCCGCTCCTTTTCTAACTCTTTGCTGCCATCTGCTGTTCACTTAGGAATTGTGAGCATGAAGAGAAAACCATGAATTTCTTCCCAAGTAAGGCTAGCGTTGTTTTTGGTCCTGATCCTTGGGCTCTACCCCTACAGGAGGAGGCATGAATCTGGAGAGATGAGACGCGAAGTCCCTGGTAAAGTAAGAAAACATAGTTTCAGGTTTCTATTCTCCTCAAGACTCTAGGAATTTTCCTGAAATAAATGCTTGGTAGTCTTGGCAGGAGCACAAAGTTCCTGTTCCTGGAGCTCGGGTGTAGGGTATTGAGTGGGAATTCCATTCCTTCCTCTTTTCCACGGGCCCCTACCTGCCCAGCAGCTCCTACAGAACCAAGACGCCTATGTTTTCCCCAAGGCAGTGTAGTGCGCCCTGCCCGTGTGTTCTCTGGTAACTCCACTATCTCCTCTGGGTCATTGTTCCATCTCGACTTCAGGGGAACATGCTTTGCCCTTTATCATTCTTTTTATCACTACCACCTGCCCTCCCCCTCCTCCTCTCCCCCTCCTTCTAATTCTCTCATCTCCACCTTATGTGTGAGTTGGGGGTGAGAGGCACCTATTCATACCACCATGCCTGGTTTATGCAGTGCTAGGCTCGAACTCAGGATCTTGTGCTTGCTAGGCAAGCAGTCTATTAACTGAGCTGTATCCCCAGCCCTTCTCCACCCTCCTTTTCTCCACTGCGGTCACCTGTTCACTTCCCTCACATGCCCGGAAGTCTGGGGCCCGTGGTTCATAGTGTTTCCATAGCAGTGTTAGCAGCATTCCGAGCGACCTCTTTCAAAGAAAATGTTAGTTGCACCGCTACCTTCTCACGGTTTGGGCCTGTAAAGTTGCACTGGCTTCCACATTGCCTTCTCTTTAGCTACCAGGGTCTTGCTTTCCCCGAGACTGCTCTGTTTGAGATAATATACAGCTACGTCCATCTCTTTGGTGGGTAACGTCTCTCCTTCCAGCTTCGTGTCTTCCCACTTAGCTTGTACCACCATGATCAGTTACTGGAATTTTCCTTTCCCAAGCTCCTGAGAGTTTTCTGTCCCCCTGTTGCCTATAACTGGGAACAGTTTCCAGTCCCTTTGTAGTGTGCCTGGTCTTGGCCTAGTGGAGAAAATCCAGTGATTCCAGTGAAGGGCACTGAGGCTTCCGAGGCCCTATTATAATTTCCAGTCAACACCATTGCTCAGGTCTTTCTCATTTTGCTTCGATCCTCCACACATTGCTCCTGGAAGTCATGTAGAAACCTTCCCACCCTCTTCTAGTGTCCTGCCTACTATATCCAAATGTCCTATTCTCTGTATGCTCAAAATGCTGCCCGCGCCCGTGACTGAGGAAACAGAAGTTGATATATGGCACTTCTCTAACACTTCTCTCCACTTCTTTAGCTTTTACCCACAGCACACTGCTTCATATGCTCATGTTCCGCCTTCCATCTCAGACGAAGAGGTGATCCTGATAGTGGCCAGTCACATCTTTTTACCTCGTGGGGAAACCTCAGTTCTTCAGTTCTTTTTTGGGGTGGTTGGTTTTGGTTTTGACTTTTCGAGACAGGGTTTCTCTGTATGGCCCTGGCTTTCCTGGAACTCTGTAGAACAGGCTGGGATTAAAGGCACCCACCACCACCGCCCAGACAGTGTTTCCTTTTTCCTTCCTTCTTTCTTTCTTGCTTTTTTTTTTTAAACTGGTTTTTCAAACAATTAAACCCCGCACAGTTCTGTCTTTGCTTTTTCCTTCTTTTCAAGCATCTAAAAAAAATGTAAAGACTTGTCCAGTCCAAGCATAGTTATGAGTACAGCTCAGCACAGACTCATAAGCTTACTTAAAATATTATGAAGTGGTTTTTTTTTTTTTTCTGACTCGGCTCTCTAGCATGAATTTTGTAGAGGCCACGATATCAAAAGGCTGAGGATGGCATGATGTAAATAATATTTCCAAATGTTTACTTCTTTAGGTATGATGACTTTTTTGCCTTCTTCATATGAACATCTATTACTCTGAATGTAATATATGTCCTTGAATCTACTGACTATAAAAAATAAAATATTATTCTTAAGGCAATCCACATAATGTTCATTAAAGCATCGCTTTCGTTTCCTGGCTGTTTTTTCAACACTTGAAATACGTATCATGATTAGAAATGATTTACAACTAGAAATCAGCTCAGGAACTTTGTGGAGTACATACATCCATTCTGTCGGAGTCTGCCTTCTCCATTATTCCTTATAACAGTGCAATCCCACATTCCCTCTTTTACCAGGATCTTCACAGAAATGCCAAAGGCTGCCAACAACACCCGTCTGACTAAACCTAATAACCAGTCTTTATCTAACAGGAAGCCTGGGGCAGTGGGCACTGTTGACTGCATCCTTCTGGAAGGTTCTGGGTTTGCCCTTCCCAAGGCTCCCTTTCTTCTGGTCTGCTCTCCTCACTGATATGCTTTCACAGCGTCCTTCCCAAGGCCCTGTTCTGTAATCCTCTGGGATGTCTGTTTCCCAAGAGGTCTGTTCCAGGCACATTCCCTCTTCAAGATTCTGCCAGCATTTTGTGTATTTTTGTAGCTTAACTGTCAGTCAGTGTGAGGCCGCCTGCTGCCACTACCCATAGCCCTGATTCATGGGACTGAGAAGTTGTTTATTATTATTGTTACTGTCATCATCATCATCATCATCATCATCATCATCATCA